CCAAGCCGAGCAATGGCAGCGGTGTGCGATGGAATGATCTGTAGGTACTGTATATAGAATCCCCTTCAATGCAGCTGAACAGGAGAACAGTAAAAAGCAATTTGCAGCGACGCCAGCTTTCCTAATGTAATCGGAGCTATTGACTGCGCACATGTTGCTAAAAACAGGCTGAATGTTTTTAACAGGAAGCAATTTCATTCAATCAATGTGCAAATTATATGTGATGTGCAACAGCAACTAACCAACATTGTGGCGAGGTGGCCTGGTTCAACGCACAATTCATTCGTTCTAAAAACAGCATGGTTGGCAACAGACTACAAGCTGGCACAATGCAGGATGGGTGGCTTCTTGAGTACATTCATTTAAACGTCCTAATTTGTTTGACCTTTTTTGTTTATTTCTGTGGGTGAGCACCGCTCTGACCTCACAGCATTTACAGCTTCACACACATTGTCCCACTCTCTCCTGCATTTGGCGCTGATGAGGACAGCGCACCAAACGGAAGGGTTTTAGGATCCTGCCTCGTTTAGAAGTGTCTTCAACTCACATCCTGCTAAGTTCCTCCTTTCCCTCGTGTAGACAAGCTTTTGAAAGTACAGAGAGGCAATTCCATTTCAGTTTATTCCTATAGCACCAAGTCACAACAGAATCGTCTCAGGACACTGAACAGAAACACTCAAATACATAAAAAGTCAGTTAACACTATTTATCTGAGGAGCAGTTTGAGTTTTCACGCTTTGATCAAATTCATTTATAAGTGCTTTAACCGTTTCTTTATAGCAGCTGCTTTTGTCTCAGTGTTCACTCACTAGATGCATTTTTTTAAACAGCACAAACTATAAAAAAAAAAAAAAGTGACATATTTTAAAAAGAAGCCTTCACTAAAATGTTTACTTAATTGTAGTAGATCCTCCTTAAAAAATGTATCGTTCTTTGAAGACTTTAATGAAAAGTGACAAACATTCACATAGATGACATGTTGTTCTCACATCATGAGTGACGGGGTGGTGCAGTGGTTAGAGCTGTCGCCTCTCAGCATAGAAGGTCATAGAACTGTCTCCTGGCCTGGAGTTCTTTTTTTTTTGTTTTGGGTGGAGTTTGCATGTTCTCCACGTGCATGTGTGGGGTTCATTTCTGTTTTCTTAAAACACCCAAAGCCATGCATGACTGGTAAGGAGGTAACTCTACATTTCAACTTGGCGTGAATAGGAGTGTGAACGGTTGTTTGTCTCTATGTGTCTCTGTGATGGACCTGCAACCTGTCCAAGGTGTCCCCGCCTCTCACAGGGTGAATGTTGGACATGGGCACCAGCTATGACCTGGAAAGGACAAGTGGATTAGATGGATGGATGGATGGCGAGGTCATAAAGGAAAATCAAATTTTCAACCCATCTTCTTTAAATATTGTTGACTGTTGCAAATCAACTTATCGCAAACATTATTTTTTTTTGTATTTTTAACTAAATTCTGGAATTGTTTCCTCTTTGGTTACCATGAGAATCCTCGCTGCATGTTTTAAACCTCAGACTCTCTGAAGCTGAGCGAGGACCTCGTCAGATACTTCAGCAACACTTTCACACAAATGGTAAGAAAAAATGCGTATTTTGTTCCGTTCTCTTGCGAATTCATTGTGCTTTGTTAAGGGAGGTCCCCAAAAAATAAAAGGCTCAAGGTGCATAAAACTAATAGAAGCTATCAGATATTTTAAAGTTTCTAAATTTTCTTCATTCTTTTTCATACACTAACTCACTTTCAAGCTAATGTTAAATAAAAAAGGACCGAAATGCAGACAAAAAAGACGAATGCTTAAATATTGTTATTTGAATCCCTTATATGAGTTATATTCCTATTAGATGTGCATTTTGATCAAACATATATATATATATATATATATATATATATATATATATATATATATTAAACTGCTGATTCTTTGACACATTCCCAGACTGACTGTGTTCATTTGAATCTTCCAGAAGTGATTCATGCGACAGGAGAGAAAACTGATGCCAGCATGGAAGAGGTGAGCCACTTTAATTTAGAACCAGTTTATCCAGATGTTTTCTTTTACTGACACTCCTCTGGTGGTAGAAGTAACAGGAAACTTGTTGCTAGGAGACGTTTGAAGCATCTGACCAACTTTAGGCTATATTCAAAACTGAGACACAATCATCTTCTTACAAAGTACAAATTCAGTTTGAAAAAATACAAAAAAAACTTTTTGTAGTGCACTGAAGTATAGGCTGAATTTATTATCAAAAATTTTACGTTAAAACATTATAAATCTGATCTTAACTATTTTCCCAACTTGCAAATTTATTTTTGATTGGAGTCACTGAGTTCATTGTTCTCTCGTCAATGTTTTCTGCTTCAAAGAACCAGATGTGCATGAAGCAGGAGAGGCCTGATGATGAAGGAGAGGATGGATTCAGAGACACACGGATGGATCAGCCGATCAACCCAGAGAGGAAGCTGCACCGCTGTGACATCTGTGGGAAGAGGTTTAAAACCAAGAGGCGCTTGATAATTCATCAACGAAGCTGGACAAAGGCCGTTCCTCTGCAGCGTGTGTGGGAAAGATTGTGTTCAACGCGCATCTCTGAAATCCCATCAGCTGATCCACACAGGAGAAAAGCCGTTCCTCTGTCAGGTGTGCTGGAAGAGCTTTAGGCACCTCAGCACTTTCAAACATCATCAGTGTATTCACACTGACAATAAAGCCTAACACGTGAGCAGTCTGCGTCTCAATCAGCTCGTCTGCTTTGACAGCTCCAAGACTGAAAAAAATAGACATTTTCTAAGATTAAACACAAAAATAGAAGTGTTTAATAATGTTTGTTTGCATGCTGCTCAGCTATAGAAGTTTTCTTTCAGCTGTAAACACAAACAAAGCTCTAATGAAAGGGACATTATCTATAAACAAGAAAACATGCTAATAGTTCATGTCCTAAAACTGTGAAATTATCATATAAAATTAAAACATTTTGCACCAACCAAGTACAACTATCTCAAAGAGGCTGCATCCCACAGAGAATCCTATTTCACCATGATCATATTAATGATAATTCACAGTTTAAAAAATTTGCATATTTGCATGAATACAAATTTATGTTTTAGTTTTAAGACAAGTGCTTTGTGGTGGAAATAAAATAAAAAATTAAATGAGAACCACCCCCACCACCACTTTCCAATGGTTTCTGAACAATTATACCTTAGATCTAAAATTTTAAAACCAATAATTCAATTAAAAAAAAAAAACTATTAATCCCAGAGGGATTAAATAAATAAATAATGTATTTTCTTGTTGGTTGTTCAATTTTTAAGTGATCTGATACAAACAGAAATATGGTGTACTACTTTGACTTTTATTTTTTGTTTGCAGTTTTAAACTGGTATCACATAAATTTAGTTATCGTTGTCATTTTTACTTTTTGAAATAGTTAACAATTGAGTGTTAATCACACATAAACAGAAAATAAATAAATTAAAAACAAACAGGAATTATGCAAATCACTCATGAAACATTGACATTTTAGTCAGTTTATCAGTTTTATATATTTATTTAATATATGACATTTCATAAGAAAAAAAAGTCAGTCTCCAAGACTTTCTTTGCAGCATCAGTAAAAACGTGGTGTAAATAATTATAAACAGGCGATCGACATGTTGCATGCTGTACTTTGTTAGTTAACGATCAACAACAAAAGATGCAGCTGATAAATGTTGCTCACAACGTTTAAATCTTTATGTTTGTGATTTATTTACGAATACAACACGCTAAGATTTATTTATGAAGCATGATCTTAAAATGCTGTAATAAACTTCAAAAGTCAAACATGATCAGTTACCACGGCAACTGATTGAACCAGAGCAGGAGATATTATCGTTTCAGTAAATAAATGCAGAGATCCAATCATTTTGAAAAGGGAGCTAAAGTTTTGATTTGACCTGAAGACAAAAAATAAATACATTTATTTCTTTAAGGTGCACAGTTTGCTTTCTTGAGCCTTTAATTAGTCAAATATATGAATCGGTTTTTGCAGAATGAAAAAGAGAATGTGATCAAAATATGTAAAATATTCCCCAGAATCAAATATACTGTGGTTCCAACACTTCATAAATATGGAACTCTGAGTGACTGCTTATGTTGGGGGGGACAACTATTTTATTTTAGTGTCATGACATACTGTAGCATATTAAATCATTTTCTACTGAAATTACTCACTAGTCACTTTCTTGCAACCAAAATGTAGATTTTGTTGTGTACTACTGATACTTGTTTTACCATATAACGTTTGATTTTGAGTTCTGACCACAGATTTTGCTAAATAAAATATTTCAGTCTAAATGAAAAAAAAAAACACTTTTTTGCACAATTTCTCAATATAAATCGTCGTCTTAAAAAGTCTTTTTTCCGATTTATCGGCCCCAATTTCCTTTATTTTGGGAAATCGGACCATACTTGCATGAGAAGCCGATTTTACTGATTATTTTAGTTTTAACAACAATTGTCTGAACTTCATTTATATTTCAGAGCACGACCTCATGGCCAGGTAAAACAAGTTTGTATTGTTTCTAGGATGTTGTTCAAGGGTATGACTTTTTAGAAATCAGTGATCGATGATCGGCCAGAAAACTGCAATCAGTGCACCCCTAATTTACAAGGCCAATTCAAGAAATGTTGTGCAACTTCTTACTTTCAACATTTGATATTTTACTTTGTTCCATTGTGAATAAAATGTGGGTTTATAATCTTTTTAGTTCATTGCATTTATAGTTTTTTTAATATATATATATATAT